TTTTCTTACCCGGAGTCCCAAGCACGATGAGCAAGCCAGAGCCTTTAGCTTCGTTAATAATGCACCTAACAGTACTCACTGATGTTTTTGTTGCTTCCGAAGTCTGTTTTACTTTTTCCATAATATCATTCTTCCCCTGTTTTATAATGAAGCAATATACGTCGTACACAATTTTTCTACCCTTTCTTTTGAATACTACACCAGTTTGTCGCGGCATAGTGTATTTTTTATAAAAAATCAACAAACACTCAACAAATAGCAATGGCAACAAAGTCAACAAGCAATTATAACAAAATATAACTTAACGATTAATAACGATAGACTTTTCACTGTACGCAAGCGTACTTTTGGGAGCAAGCGGAACGAAGGCGCGGTGCGGGACGCAAGATTCGACTGATCTACCAATAACGCGCTCGATACGATTTCCCCTGCCGTCGCGCCTCACCCTCACCACCAAAGTGATCTAAAATTCGGTTCTGCGTAGTCAAGGTCATTTGCTCACGATGTTTGCCGGTTACTATAACAAAAAACCGTGTTCCGTTTCATAAACACAAAAATTATATACGGCTAGTTTCCTACTACGAGCATAATACAAAAGCAAAGGTTGTGCAAAAGGCGTGTTGAGTACTTTTTCCGAAACTAGCATATGAGATGACGGATCATCTCGGTGTATATTTTTGTGGGCTCTAAAACGGGTATAGCTTTCTTCTTTTTCTGTTTCATGTTATTGCTTTTCTCTTTGTTTTTCGAAATTTTTCATTTTTTTCGTAGTGAAGAAAGACGCTTTAGACACTTGACTTTTTTAAGTACATGAAATCCGATGTTGAAATTATCTAAGAATATTTTACGAAAAATTATCTCGCTTACAATATTGTGCTGTGTTTTTTGTATAGTTTGTATAAGTTGGAGATATTTCTAATTTCTTCAGAAAGGTAAACTTTGCTCGAATTTTGACGATAGTAATGCGAAGGTACCGCTGGTATTTTTTTATTTTAGTGCTCAGCTCAGGGTGGACGAGCTCACAGCCTAGCTGGTGTTAAGTAGTTACTGGAGCTCATAGACATCTACAACGTAAATGCCACCACCCACCTTGAGATATGAGTTTTAAGTTTTCAGTATAGTTAACGGCTGCCCCACCCTTCAAACCGAAACCCATTACTGCTTCACGGCAGAAATAGGTAGGGTGATGGTACCTACCTGTGCAGACTCACAAGATGTATCAGCGTAACTTTAACTAGTAGGTGAGCTCACGGGACTCAAACCTGACGATGTTGCTAACACTGGCCCTAGCAAGAGCAGTGCTTCGCAGAACGTACCACCGGATCGGAAACGCGACCCACTGAGAAGATCCGGCGAGAAACTCAGTGGTCTGTGTCTGTGGGTTAATTTACTCGCCGAACACCGTTGCATCGCTACATACGAATGCACCGGACGCCTTATCCTTTAGACCACGACGACTCTGTAAACTTTTGATAAATCTTTTTACGGAATCTATAGTCGTTTCTTTGGTCTTATTTGGTGGTTCACATCTCCCTCATGGGAACAAAATGCAAAATAATATGACAAACGACTTTACTAAGCGACGCCCAGCTTACGAATGTCACATTTTACTAGCCCGCGAAAACGTGGTACGCGACTAGTTGCGCATACCCAAGCGACGTATTTAAACTCGCGCAGTTCCTTAGCGACAAAAAAATATATTTTGTTTATGGGTAAACATAACTAAGCGCCAAAAGTAACCATTGAAATTAATCAATTAAAATTATCTAGGCGACGTAGTTATTAGAAATGTTGTCATGTAAAAATATTTACGGATGGAAAGGGATATTATGTTAAACAAGTAAAACTATCTAAGATTCAATATTATTCCATTTTGTTTCAGGGTAAATTGTATAGCTGTACCAATTACGACTACTTTGTATAGGTACAATCTACTAAGTGGTTTCAAAGAATAATTTCATAACAAGTAAAAATAAATAAAAACAAACAAATCAAAATTTAAAAACATAATTAACTAACTAAGTGAATAATACCTTATTATTAAAATGTCCTAACTGCAGGATGTCTCTAAAATAACTTTTTTTTTGTCATTTGGTAGGAAAAAACTCTGCATTTTTATGAAAATCACACCATATCTAAGCAACATAAAACATGTCACAGAGTGATGAAACCTATAATACCAAACGACGCAGAAAAATCAGACGATTCCAATGGTGTATCTAACTCATTTTACCTACTTTTGTCGCTTAGTCAGGATTGCCTTTCAAGCGTCGATATGCATATAGCAAAATTCACAAAAAAGTATGATTAGATTCAACTTAAGAATTGATGTTTTATAAGTATCACTAACAATGACACTTGAACTTATTTATTACAATAAATAACCAATAAGGAGAATTGCCATTTCAGTACTTATACTAAATCAGAATTTAACATAACACAAGACACTGTTGATTCATTCTTTTTTATTTATAACGTTTGACTGAAGTGTTTCAATTAAATAGAATACAACAACTTTTATAACAATGTATAGAGTTATTTAATACAAATTTTGTATAGGTACTTAATTACTCTGCCATGTCCTATTGACTATAGTTAATCAATTTCGCTCTTACCAAATGCATGGTGGCTTGTGAAATTGTTTCATTTTGTGAATCCCATTCTACAGCAACAGCACGAGCAAGAGGTTCATTCCCTACGGTTAATACATTCCCATTTGGTGTTTTTAGACGTCGATGATCCAAAGTCACTTCCCATTTGTTGTCATTCTGAATCACAGCTGTCCCCTTATAAAATCTTTTACGTGTAGCTGCAATATTATAATCTAAATTTTATCAAATATTTGGTGAGGTTAACTCAGAAACATGGGCATCTTTCAGGTTGATTTTTATTATTGTCAATTAAATCGGCGAAAGACGTATATTGGTCTCTATTGCCCATGGATATCAGCATTTCTTTAAATTAAACTAATTGTAGTGAAGCGATGGGAGGTTAGAAACAGAACTCACCATATGGACGATATATACTGCATAGGGTACATCGTGTTTTCAGTAAAGTTGAAATACCAGAAGCCAGAGTAAATATTCTCATTATTATAACTAGTGTTTACAATCACAACTGTAGTTTAACGTAGCGTTCGTAGGTACAGGTATTCATTAAATTGAAAATACAATTATTCTCTATTTACAATGTGAATGTATGTTGAATGAAACCGAAGATCTATATTTAAAAAAATAATAGTTTATGATAAAATATAAATCTCAAGTGTATTAAGTACATGTAAAATTTGTAACAGGGGGGTGCAACTCCCATACAAAGGAAAATAACATACAACTAGCGTCATCTTACTCCTGTGGCGACGTCATTTTTGTAACTTTTAGGCATTAATGATCTAATAAACTCACTAGATGGCAGATATGAGTTCTAACTCAATAAAAAATGTAGCGTACTTTGAAGCAGTGCTTCCACTTTTAGGGAATTCTCCCTTTTTTAGGGAAAAATAGCTGATATTTTGGATGATAAAGACAATTTAAAAAATACCAGGATTTAGGATATTTCGGGGTAAAAAGCAAAGCCTATACTAGTAACTGTTGTGAATTTTAAAATAAACGATAATTAAAGTAAAACAATGAACATTTTATTTTATGGAGAGAGAATGACATTAAGTCGAGTTGACAAGTAAAAGAATAAAACAGAGTTGTGTATAAAAACTATAAAGGTTTGATTCAACAGTAACCCTCTAGTAAAGTAAATCATAGATTAAGCCACTGCTTTTTCTTAGGGATTCCCCAGAATCCCAATAAGTATAATCCGCCAAATTTTTATTTACCTATTTTCGTTGATGTCACCAGAACTTACTTGTATTGTAATATACAGGTACTTCATGTACCATGAAAGATTATCATGGTAATTTCATTCACGAAAACCTTGTAATTGTCATTTCACTTTTGCTAGCAGTTCCTTCTTCAAAGACTGAGGTGGAAAGATTATTCAGTGTTCTCAAAT